ACTTAAAAACAGCAAGATAAGAGGCCTGTCTTATGCTCAGAGGCAGATCATTCCACAGTTAAGGAGCTGCCACAGAAAAAGCACAGTCCCCTCTGAGCTTGCATTTTGTCTTTGGGACTCTCAGACTAGTAGTCTGATAGGGGCAGATGCTCTCCTCTGAACAAAACTCTTGTTATTAATCCTATCCTTTTTTCTGGCTTTATTTCACATACTTGCAGTATAAACAGCTTCAAGCAGTATTATGGTCTGGAGAAGCTGCATGGAGTGAAGGAGTTGAGCATCTCTTAGTGCTGCACTGGAGACTTAAGTAGCGCAACAGTTTGAGCAAATGTGAGATAATACAATACTGTCTTAAGTGTGCATCCACTGGTTTATTGCATAAAACCTCCATACAATACTAAGAAGTTTGTGTTTGTAATGTAAAGAAACAGAAAAAGGATTGAGGAGTATGAATGGTGCAACAAGGCCCTGAATTACAAAGAACAGGAGAGTGGCCTACTTGTTTGGTCCAACACCACAGAACCACCCAGTTGAATTCCTTGGATAGAGGACATGTCTAGGATCTCCGTAGAGCCAGGCTACAGGAAGAGAAAAGACAAACAGATTACACCAGGGGAAGAAAACATCAAACTTTATGGACGAGCACATTGAAACTTTAAAAGGAAGCAGGAAAAAGAAATCTAAATTTTATATCCAAGACAAAAAAAACTTTATGCTTTTCTGAAGTTTTCCCAAATCCGCCACAAGGGGGCACTGGAGCATGCACTTTCACATTCAGATGTTATAGTTCTCAAGTTTCCAGCTCACACATGCAGTAAACAAAAACACCCTTATTACCAGTACCTGAAGTGCTTTCAAATAATATTCATTTGCTGTCTAACCCTAAAAACAACCAGGACTGGTTTAGTTTATTTAGAACGAATCCACAGACTCAACAAATTCAGCACATTTGTCAGCAAAAACTGAAACCAATCGACCTTTGATAACCAGTGATTTGGAAAACCTCCCAATGGAAATAATGAAAAATTAGGGCATCTCAGTTGTGGGCACAGATACTGTGTCAGTATATGACTTGGCTAATCAGTCTGATTTGTTGACTCTAGATAAGGGAGCGCGCCCAGAGTGCTAGAATGAGTACAAAGCAATAAAGACCTACTGACCTGACATTGATAGGAAGGGCTTATGTACATGTGAATGGGAAACATTTACATAGAAAGTTTAAATAATTTTAGATAAATAAAATAAATAAACTATTGCAAACATGAAAGAGATTAAGGGTTAAAAAAAAAGAAAATTTCAGCTCCATCTAGCAGTAATAGAATCCCACTGCTTAGTGGTGGAAAGATCACTGATGTAAAATGAGAATAAGGAAACAAATGTTTCTCAAGAAGACTGTAATTCCAGCCAAACACAAAGTCCAAAAAACATATGTTAGTAAAATATCTACAGATTGTGTAACAACTAGATACAGATCAATGTTTTATGATTTTATAAATCAAACTGCCCCTGTGTCTTGAATCTAAAATGTTAATTAAACATAATTTGCATTTAAAACTTGGAGGTTTTTTTTTTCTTTTTTTACAAATCAAAATTAAATTTGCTTATAATCAGCAACCCGATTAAACAAGTCTCAAGTCTCCTTCCCCACAGTATAATTCTGCCATCTCTATGTTTCATAATGGCAATAGTGTGTTCAGGCTGATGTGCAGTGTAAAATGTTAGCGGTTAATGAAATGTGGGGTTAATTTAACTAGATTGCCTTCTTTCACATATCTGCTGTGTTCCCAAATAGCTAAAAACTTTGGGTCACTGATTTATAACCAAAACGCTGCTTCAATCTTCTTCAGAAGTTTTCCCCTGACCTCTCTGGCGTTCCTTTGTCTCCAAAGCCTCTTTCCGACTGAAAATAGCAGGTTAACACGCGTTTTTCAAACATGGGTCGACCCGCCAACAATTGGCATTTGGCTCCCTTCACACTTGCAAAAAAACTGGGTCTAACCCCTCACTGACAAGCTGCACGTCGTTGAGCTGTTCCCACTGCCACTAATAGCTAACTCTTCCCGGGTTTAAACAGGTTTTTCGGCCAGTGGGAAAGGGGTACATGTTGCAGTTTGATCATTAATCCTCCCCAAGCCTCTATTTACTATATAACACACACACACACACACATTTGTTAAAACATCATGAAAACCATATAACCTTTTCCGTTTATCTTAAAATCCTCCATTTACTGTCTTTTGTCTTTTCTTTCAATACCCAATATTAAAGGTTTTGGTTATTGTGTGACAAATTGTAAAAATATTTAGTTGGGCTCACCTTTGAGGTGAAGACTTGCAAAATTTTAAGTAATGAGTCCTTAACGAGTATCTTAAATGCACCTAGAATTTTAACCTCACTAGATTCTTACACCTTAGCATGCATCTTGGATGTAGTTGAGATTGTGTCAGAAACATTTGAATTTCTTGGTTTCACTCACCTAAAATTCCTATTCCTATGTAGCCCAGGATGACGGCCATAAACAAAATACAGCAGATAATATCCGTGCATCCTCTGTGGAGAAAAAAAAGAAGATAAAAATCAAGTAGATGTTTGGTGATAAAAAAAAAAAAAAAAAAAAAAAAAAAA